TCTTTGGGTGGCTCCGCGGCTTTCCTGGGCTTGTAGATGCGTCACTCCGGTCTCTGCCCGTCTGCACACCGCCCTCTTCTCTGTGCGGGTCACAGTCTTTCCTGTCTTTGTATACCCTGGTCATGGCATTCAGGGCCCGCTCCAATCCAGCAGGACCTCGCCTTCACTGGGTTACCTCTGCAGCGATGCCGTTTGCAGACGCATCCCACACCTGGGCACCGGGCAGAAGCAACACGACCCAGTGTTGTGGCGGCAACCCGGTGTGAGGGGGTGGGAGCCAGGCGGACCGGCCAATCAGGAAAAGCCCTAGGAAGTCTGGATGCTGGCCTGTGGCCAACGCTTTCTAAAGGCTTGTCCAGGAGTGGGCCTGGGGCCTGCGGCGGGGCAGCGGTGCCTCCTCCCGAATTTGTACCCCACTGGCTCTCTCCCCCTCTTGTTGGGCACGTTCGATGCTAGCGCTTTGGAGTCTTACCGTCCACGTCCTCCGTGGCCAGGTTGACAGGTTGGCAGCCACATATCAGCAACTCCCTTTTCACAGCTGAGGTTCTGCGGGCACTCAGAAGCCCAGAGTCCGGACGCCAGCGCCACCGGTCCCAGACGGCCACTAACGGGGTTTGTGTAGGAAGAGACGAGGCCAAGTTCAGGCTTTGCGGGGCCAAGTTCGGGCTTTGCAGAGCCAGATGGGTCCCGTTAATAAGCAAATGCGCCCTTGTATGAGGGCGCTGTCGTAAACGTGTTCTGAAACACAGATGACGTAATTTTGCTTATCATATCGGATGCTCATTACGAGCATGCTCCTCGAATTGCTGCTGTCTGATTTAGATTCAAGGACGTCTGATTCATTGCTTTTCTTCGGTTTTCTCCCCAGGAGAAAACACCAGCTTAGAGACCAGGCTCCGAGAGCATGGGCCTTGTCTGCTGATGCGTAACCTCTGACCCTCTCTGAATAGTTCCTTCTTCATCAATAAAATGGGAGTAGTGATACCTGCTTCTAAGAGTCGCGCCAGAATTAGGTACGGTGACAAAGTACTGCCCCAGTACCTGACACAGAGCCACCACACGACAGGTTAAAGTCATGTGACTGGCTCAGACTTGAGCCTGGCACATACTAAGCGCTCAGTAAAGGTTAGCTGCTCACTCTCAGGCATGGCACTGGGGGCTATGTCCCTGCCTGGTCCCTGCCCCCCTCAGGAAGCTGGAGAAGGGGACAGAAGCCACACTGAATGAGTAGCAGTGAGGTGGAGTTCCTAACTGTGACCCAGTTTCTAGAACAGTCCATGTCAATATGTTCAGAGATCCCCAAACGTGAGAACCAAGTTCACCTGCTTTCTGTCCCACGTCAGCTTACTGACAGATGTGGGCAAGGCCCCGCCCACACTGCCTCAGACAGAGGTCAGGGACCAAGGTCAGTCCCACCCGTTCACCCCAGCAAACGCCTCCCCCACTGCCAGGCCCCAGCCTCCCTCTGTCGTTGACGACAAGCCTGCCTCCGGCAGGCCCGGCCCCATGCTGCTGCTTCTCATAAATGCTCACCGATTTCAAACGGAGTCACTAGACTTCAGCGGAGCAGAGGACAGCCCCCAGAATCCCTCCCCACAGCCGGCAGCCTGCAGCGGGCTTCGGAATCAAAGAAGACCCCCCCTCCAAACGAGGGTCCCTTCAGCCTCCAGGCTGCAGCCGCCACCCCAGCCAGGCCTCCTCCGCCCCAGAGCCGTTCCCAACCCCGGCCCCAGTCCCGCCCCGCTGGCCCCAGCCACCGTTCTTTGGGGGGCGATAGGAGCTACAGAAGCTTCTGGATCAGAGGGCTGGCCTGATTGACTTTGTGTTAGAACATGATAAAGCTAAGTTCCTGTAAGGGTTAGGATGAGGGTTTAGGTGCTTTAACAATGGGCAGAATAAAAATGACGGAGACAAACAAACAAACCCTCACCCTGACAAGCAGCGTACGTAATATTATCCAACTCACAGCTGAGGAAGCCGAGGCTGCGGTCAGCCGGCCGGAGGCAGACCCAGGACCCGGCCCCGGCCACACCCTGCCTGCCCTCCTGGTCTTCCTGCCGCCTTCACACACATCACAGCAGGATTCTTTCTCTGGTGGTGAAACATGCACAGATCTCATCTCACAGACGTGCCTCTCTGTCCACCCAGTCACTTGTCCTCATTGCCACACGGGACTGCCCGCACGGATCACTCAGAAACCCCTGTGAAGGGGCGCGCACACAGTGTCCCCACAGACTTCCTTGGCCTCTGGACCAGGGCCATCTCTGTGGCGGTTTTTAAAAGTAGCTGAGCTGACATGTCGTGCTTTGTTTTATTTGGGGGCTGGGGACTCATTTAAGAGCAAGAACTGGGTTTTACAGCAGCCTCGGATGTGTCCTTTCCATCAAAGTGTCATCGCGCCCAGCTCAGCAGTGATGGCCCTGTCCTCAGAGAACACTGTGGCAGCCTCTCCCTCCCACACCAGCGCCGTTTCTGAACACGCGAGCCCACGTGGGGCGGGGCGGCGCACCGGAGCTGAGCTACGATCCAATCCGAGTGGAAAACAAGACTGGAGGAAAAGGTCCTGGACCCAGCCAGCCCGCCGGCTCCGATGACGCACCTCTCCGTGACGTGCGGTTCTCATTAAATCCCGGGGCGGGGCTGTGCCTCCTCCCACAGCTTTGCGGGAGTCAGCTGGCACGTCTCCCGAGAGAGATCTACCTCATTCTGCCGGAAGCTGGAGAATCCCCCCCTGAGCCCCACCCCATCCCCAGCTCCTTGTAACCCCCATCATTTGTCGTTTATTCCGGCACTTCTCACGCCCTGGGAGCTGTCCCGAGCCTTGCTTGCATGAGTAGCATCTCGAGCATCCTTGCGTGCACCCAGCAGCAGTCAGATGGGGCTACTGTGTCCATCCGCCCAGATCAGGTAGTGTCTCAGTTTTCTGTGGCTGCAAAACAAATAACCACTAGCTTAGCAGCTTAAAATAACTCACATGTGTTTTCTCATAGTTTTCCTGGGTCAGGAGTTCAGATGCAGCTTAGCTGGCCCCTCGGCCCAGGGTGTCAAAGACCTGCAACCCCCTGGGCCGCATTTCTGTCTGGGCCTGTCTGGACTGCCCCTGAGCTCTCATGGTTGGTGGCAGGATTCAGTCCTGGTGCCACAGGACCCGGGGCCTGGAGGCACCTGCGGTTCTGCCGTGTGGCCCGCTCACGTGAGACTGCTGACCTCTTCAAAGCCAGCACGGGGGGGCTGCCTCGCTCCCATCTGCTGAAACTGAGCCTTCGAAAGAGTCGCTGTGGGTTGGGGATGACACTCGTCCCCTTTGTCGTTTCTTGGGAACCTCCCTGGGGGGCACCTGGCAGGAACCAGTGTTCGCTGCTTTGATCCACAGTCACTTGACCCTGCAGCTTCTGCCCCCGTTTTCATTTTGTGAGCTCCTGAGGTCACCCTCCCCGGGGGGACTCCGAGAATAATCAGTCTTGAGATCCACTGTTTTGTGACCTCAGCCATGGGGTCCATGTACTTAATGCCCGTCAACGTTCTCCGACTCCCAGAGTCACACTGACAACGACGGTGTAAACAGGTTGAGTGTTTCTGTCACCCTGGAGCCGTGACAACCTCGTGTTGTCACTGAGAGCCGAGTGTGTTTCCGGGTGGAATTACCATGTGATAAACCAGGAATGAGTGCTTTTGACCTGGGAAGAAGCTGCCGTCCACCTCAGAGCAGCTGACATTCACGGTCAGTGAGCATGGCGCTCGCCGTCTGAAATCGGTGGTGTAGATCGAGCCTCGGAAGCGCATGCTCGTCGGCGATAAGGAGCTGGTGTCGGCGGAGGCCTCGGGGGCTTTTACGTGGTCCCCGGTCCTCTCTCACTGCGTGCCCAGTCCCGGCCAGAGCCCGTTAGACGGCAGCCTCCCCGTACACACCCGACCAGGCCCTCAGCCCGGGTGCGGTCTGACACCTGGCACCCCGGCCGCCCTCCGCAGGACCCCCGAGGTCAGCTGAGCCAGCATCCCCTCACCCGCAGGTTTCCTGTCGGTCACTGTCCACCCCCCAGCCCCCACCTGCTCCGTGGCTGTGAACCCCGCTTGTGGGTGTCGTACGTGGGATTGAGACTGTTCTACGAGGGCATCTTGTTCCCCTACTTTGACGGCCCAAGTCCCGTCCGTTTTTCTGTGTGAACTGCTGCCCAGCTTGGTTTCCCTTTGCCTGCGTCTGCTCCCGCCGGGCACCACGGGTGCAGCAGTGAAGAGGCGGAGCCCCTCCCTCAACAGCGCAACTCGGAGAGGCGGGGGCCCTGCTACTGTGGCAAGGAGCGGACCCCGAAACTCCCTGACCCAGCTTTCCTGCCTGTGGCTGGCTGTGCGCCCCTAAAAAGGCTCTGTCTCCCTGAAGGGCAGACATTAAATGCTCTAGGGCCACAATGGTCTCTGTGGTACATTCCCTTTCGTTGCTGCTGGTGGTGTGGTTTGGTTTGGTTTTTACCACCCTTTAGAGAGGCCAGGCCCTCCTCACTCACAGACCACGGCGACGCTGGCGGAGGGCTGGGTGTGGCAGCCCCGCCTGGGCGCGTCAGAACTCGCACACGTCACCGACCCTCCCAGAGCCTCAGCTCCCGTGTCCACAGACAGGAGACAGTGGTGCGGGAGGCGTGTCCCAGCGAGGTGGGGGGTTCATGACATCCACGAGGGAAAGCGCCTACACCTGCTGGCAGAGACCACGTGCTCAGGGAGGTGCTCGCTATGGGGACACGAGAGGCCAGAAATCGTTACAAATGTTCTCGGGAGAACCGCTCACACAGAGCCCGCTCGCAGTCCCAGGAAACAGGAGGAAGAAGACTGCGGGTGCTCCGCGGGACTACAGCCATCACTGACTGCTCCGTCCGAGGCCTCGCACCCGGTTGGGGCGGCCGGCTGGCGGGGTGCTGCGGGGCCTGTGTCCCCGAGTGCCGCGTTTGCCGCGTGCTTGTCTGTGGCGCCAGGCACCGTGTTTTCAGCTTCTCTCTTTTCTGTTGCAGAGACATCAAGCCAGACAACATCCTCCTGGACGAGCACGGTAGGCCTTCGGGGGGTGCTCTGCAGGTGAGGGGGAAGAGGGAGGCCCGGGGAAGTTGGGGGTCCCGGTGAGGGGATTTCAGGATGGAGTGGAAAGCCTCCCTGGGGTTTTAGTGCTGGCGGGTGAGCATCTGTGTGAAGTGCTGGTCCGTGTCCCGCCAAGGTGAGTGTGTTTCAGGATTCATGTCTGAAGACATGGGTATTGGCGACCTGGCAAGGACAGCCAGGCAGACATTGGGCTGACAGAGGGTGGGAGAGTCCCAGGGTTTCTCCCCCAGTCCCCCACCTGTGGGTCGGTGGCTCCGGAAAACGGCTCAGTGCCACCTTCCAGGCCATCTGGAGGTCAGGTAGGACAGTGTGTGGCCAGTGAGCCAGAAGTCAGGAATCAGCCCTCCACAGAGCCTGCGTCACCTGGTCCCTCAAGCTTTCGTGGGCGAAAGGAGCCTGGCCACCGGGTTAAACTGGTCCCGTCGGTCAGAAGTGGGGCTGAGACTCTGCATCTCTGCGGCTCCCGGGTGAGCCGGCTCCGCTGGTCCACGGGCCACCTGTGGAGAGGCCGGCTCCGTGGCAGCCGGTTCCCACCTTCAGTCTGGTGGGAGTCTCCAGGGGGACTTTGTACCTGCTTTGGTGAGCCGGGCCCCGTGCTCTGGGTCAGCCCCGGGGAGGTGGCCCCCAGGCACGGCAGGACCACGGGTCTGGGGCACGGCCCGACAGTGCACAGCCAGCTGACCTGACAGTCCCCTGCGGTCAAGGCCAGTGGCAGCTCTGCAGCCAGGAGACTGCATTCGCTGACTGTCCCCCACGGGCTTTAGGGACAGGGGAGGGGCGGCTAGAGAAAGCGCTGGGGATTTTTCTGAGGTGCTGCCTCTTCTGCTTGGCTCCTCCGGACCCCTTCCCCCGCCCCCACAGGCTGAGGCCGTGGCTCCTTCTTGAAGCCCCTGTAGAAGCCCCACATGCTGCCAGAGTGTCCCAGAGGCCTGTCACATTGGGTGGGCCACCGGGGCTCGAGTCTCCCAGTGGCCACTGAGACCTGACTGAACACTTCAGGGCAGTGGGCTGAAATCCCCGTGCCCCTGAATGGAAGGTCAGGGGCGGCCTGGAGATGCCAGGGAACTGGGCAGAGCTCGGGTGCCAATGCAGGTCCTCTGTTTGTATCTAAGAGTCAGGAACCCCGGACGTGAGCTCAGCTGACCCCCCAACTAGCTGTGTGTCCATAGCCAAGATGCCCCACCCCTCTGAGCCCCGGCCTCCCCAGAAACAAAACAGAAGTGGTACCACCTTGCAGGGGAGGTGAAGGTCCAAGACAGGACCGTGGAGTGTGCCAGCAGGAGGGCTTTGTCCCCCAGCCTCTCCCTGACCCTTCCCTGCTCAAGGCAGGGCAAGGGGAAGTGGGAGACTGTCTGGGAGCCAGGGGCCCTGGGCAAGATGCTCAGGGACTTCCCCCAATGACAGAGGAGGACTGCTGGACAAAGGCCTTTCAGGCCCTGGGCAAATGTCCAGAAGCAAAATTAAGGCAGGAACAGAAGGTTATGAGAATAATTCCGCCACTGCATCTGAGGATAGACCCCCAGTGAGCCTGTGGGGCACCTGGGCGTTGCCAGCGCCGGAGTTCCCGCCCTGTCCGCACAGCCCGGCCACAGCGCTCCCGCACCCCCGCCTCCTCTGCGCTCCCTCATTTTCAACCTCCAGCTCCCCATCCTTCCCTTCCCCTCCCTTTCTGCCCTTGTCCTCAACCTCTGACCTCCGTCCTTTCCCACTTTCCTCCCGGATCCCTCTACTCTGAGCTCCCCATCCTTCGCCACCTCTCATGAGACTCGCACAGGCCCCCAGCCTGCCTTCTGCAGCCCCCAGTAGACTCCCCAGGGGCCTCTGGAGCCGCCCTGCTCCCTCTTCTCCAAGCTCCTGTTTTATCAAGTGTCTCTGCTGGGCATTGGGGTGGAGTGCTAACCACACTACTTTATACTAAGGAGTGAATGGCTTATTACCCGCTTCCCTTGTCATGGCCAGGAGCCTTCATGGGCAGTGCAGGGCGCTCTCTGGTACACAGGTCTCCTCCCCCGGCAGGCGGGGCCCGCCTTCCCCCGAGTTGTGACCCAGATGCCCGTCAGCTTTCCAGTTGTGTCCTTAGCCACGGTTGCCCTCTTCCCCAGCCTCACGGAGTCATGATTGGGAATTCAAATCGCATCTTTAGGTGGTGTGGCGCGATACGTGTACGTGAGAAGTGACTACTGCAGTGAAGTTAGTAGACACGTCCTTCACCTCACACAGTCACCGTTTTCTCGTGTGTGGTGAGCACATGTAAGATTTACGTGTCAGCAGGTGTCAAATGGACAAGCTGGTATCGTTAGCTGTAGCCGCCATGCCACACCTTAAATCCCTGTCACCTTTCAGTGACTGCATCACAGAGCAGGTGGCCCAACAGAGAGCTGTGCATGGCTCCTTTAGGAGTTTGATCGTTGGTCCAGTGAAGTGCTTTTTCAGAGAACAAGCTGGTCAGCTGTGTTTACAATGAAATACAAGCATCGTCAAATAAACGCGTGAATAGTTTATTCCTAATGTTCAGAACCCGCTGCCCACACACGGTCCCCAGCTCTCGCAGACACAGCTGTGCCCCCCAGCCAGCTTGGCTCTCCCACCCCCGCTGGGTCTCATCTCCCACAACGGACGCTTTGATTCTCTCGGAGATCGGGGGTCTCTCGGCTATGTAGCGGAAGCAGAGAGACCAACCTGGGGGGAGGTGGCGTTGAAGGAAGGCACAGCATCTAGGCTGGGGTGGTGGGGGAAGAGTTGGGTGTGATCTGAGGCCAAGGGCAAAGGGCTGGAGGAAATGGACTCGAATCATCATGAAAGGCCGAGGATCGCCCTCACTCCCTGTCGGAACGGTGGGGCTGGGTGAGGAGCAACACCGTGACCTTGATGGTGTGAATGAGAAGCGCCATGGTGCTCCCAGGTCCCAGGAGGTTGAGCTCTCGTAGGCAGGGCTCGCTTCTAAGACGGAGGTCAGGTGGGCCCAGCCAGGCAGCCCTGGGGGTATTGGCTATGCTCACTGGCCCGTCTGAGGGTTGCCTGGCTGCCGGCTGCTACACCGGCCTGCTCCACATGGCCCCCTCTGGCAGGGCAGTCCCATGTGGTCCCACGTGGCCACAGCAGAAGCCAGAGCAGGGAAAGCCTCTGCCTGCGTCACATTGCTGCCACCCCCAGGGGGAAAGCAAGTCCCATGACTGACGTCGGAGCGAGGACACTGTGTGTTACGTGGCCACAGGATGATCCGGGGGGAGAGCGCGGTCTTCCGAGCAGTCGTCTGGGAGGGGCCGGTGGACACGGAAGGGCCACCTGCCCGGTGGGCAGAGTGGGCGCGTCAGACATAGTGGCTACTCTCGCTCCTGTAGAGCGCTCACCTCCCACAGGCAGGAGAAGAGACGCAGTCAGGGAGGGAGGGCAGCGCCTGCCCGGTGCCCGGGGGGACCCCGAGGGCCCTTGGTTAGAGTTCACGCAGCTCTGTCCTCCATATTCTGGAAAGTGCCCCTTCACTCTTGGAGACAAAGGACACAGAGCCGCCACGGTCAAGGACTTCACGGCCTGGGGAGGCGGCTCTCAGCCATGGCTGCACATCACCCAGGAACTCTGAAATGTACCAAAGCCAAGTGCACCCACAGCAACCAGGGCTGGGCGCTGGGGTTTTTTAGTTCCCCGGTGTTTCGGAGGTGCAGCCAGGGCTGAGGGAGCGGCAGGAGAATAAAGAGGCCATTCTGACGCAGCAGGGTCAGTGCTGGGACCGGCGGGGGTGGGCTGTGCAACAGCAGAACGTCAGCGAGGCTGGGGTGGAGGGTGGACGGAGGGCTTCCTGGAGGAGGGGGTATGTCCATGTGGGATCCTGCAGCATGAGTGGGGTCGACAGAGCGTTTGGGGGCCTGGCATTCCTGAGGGCAAGTGAGAAAGCTTCACCCTCAGGAGGCCATGAGGTCCCCCCACCACATTTCTGACTTTCCCAGGGCTGGGCTGTGACCTGCAGAACTCACTGTGTGCTGCACTCTGACGCTTGACTGCCTCACACTCCAGGCCACTGTCCCCTGCCAAGTGCCAGGCACCCCGACAGCCCCTGTACCCCAGAGCCCGGATAGTCTTCAGGGGAGCCGACCTGAGTCTGCGCACCCTGCCTCGCTCATTCTCCCCCGCAGAAACCACCAAAAAGGCTCTCGCCCACAGTCCCCTGTGCCACCCTCTGCCTAGCAACAACCCCCGGGCTTCCCCGTGTGCCCCCGCCGATGCCACGGCGCGCCCCTCCTCTCAGGGACCGTGAGTAACGAGCTGTGTGTTCCACGGTGGCTGCCTCCGGTCTGCTGGCTCCTTTCTGCCTCCAGCTTCTATTCATGGGCCGCACTGAGAGCCTGCTCCCCAAAGCGGCGGTGGCAGCTCATTGACACCCACTCCTCCCCAGTGAAAACACGGAGAGCCCATCGCCCCCATGTCAGGAGGCAGAGGCTCCGGGAAGGGCCAAACCAGGCAGGTCTTGCTCCTGAACCCTCAGTGCAGGGGCTGGAGCCACAGAGAAGAAGGTGGGGGGGGCGCCACGCTGACCAGTGGGGGGTACAGGTGTTTCTGCTGAGCCCGAGGAGCTGACAGTGGGGGGTCACTATTCCTGATGGGACTCCAAGAGTTTATGGAGGAAGTGTAGGAATGCCATTACAAGCTACTCTGGGTTTATCCATGTGTGTAGGGGTGGGGAGGGGAGGTGGCATGGGATTCTGAGGTCCACCAGCCCTCAGAAGGCTGCTGGGAGGGAAGTGTCTGCGTAGTTCAATGTCATAGGAGAGTCCGAACGTCCCACCGGCCCAGGGCAGGTGGACCAGCGCCGTCCCGGTGGTTTCTGTGGAACAAAATGGGTGAGGCTGCAGGGGCTCTGGGGCCGAGGGGCTGCCCCAGTTGTCTGGCACTGGCTCTGGGATGACCTGAGCGCCCCCAGTAAATAGCCCCCGTCTTAGTTTCCCGAGGCTGCTGTGA